GAGAAGGCTAAATGTTTCATGAATATTGAATAAAGTCTGGGCTAAAAAGCTTAACTGTTTGGCCAGGTGTGATGGCACACACCTCTAACCCCAGCACTTTGGTGGGTGAAGGTGGGTGGATCACTTGAAGCCAGGAGTTAGAGACCAGCCAGGCCAGAATGGCCAAAACTTGCCTCTACTAAAATTTGCCAAGCATGATGACACACACCTCTACTCCCATCTACTAAGGAGGCTGAGGCACAAGAATTACTTGAGCCTGAGAGGGGGAAGTTGCAGTGAGCCGAGAAAGCACGGCACCACTGCACTCCAGCCTGAAAATAAAAACCTGTCTGTGGACTTCAACACTAACATTGGACAAAGCAAGCAATATTCATTCACATCGTCTTTTAAATAAAAAGTTTAAATCAGCCCCAGCTGTTCTTTTAGAATAAACTGGGTATCAGTTATAAAAATATAAATTAAAAGTTTTCCATTAAAAATAAAAATAAACATATTTACTTTTAAATATATAAGCTCAATAAACTGTGACCTGGGAGAGAATCTGGCCAGCAAGGAAAGGAATTTGTACAGCAAAGGTTGATCAATAGCAGGATCTGGATAAATTAAGGAAACGTTTAAAGCCCTGCACCCTGGTTTCATTGTTGAACTGTTTGAATGCCACTTACTCTTTGTGTGTTTGTAATAGCAAGTCCAAAATAAAATGAAAAATAAATCAGATTGCTCCACTTCCTCTTCCCCCTAAGAGCAGAAACTGAACCCTTGATATAGTTAAGAGACAAAAAGGAAAAGGAAAGTGTCAATCAAAAACCTGAATGACACAAGTAAAAAGGCCATAACCTTCCTCTCCAAAGCTAGGAAATCTTGGAGAAGAGCCCTTTGGCATTTCACAGGTGTCTGCTGCACAATGTGGCCAAGAGACTTTTCCAAGGTACCACAGCGAGCTAAGAGCCGAATATTTTGCTATAAATTAGTACGAAGTTAAAGATAGTGCTAAGGTCACTGATTAGCAAGTATGTTACACTGAAAGGTTTAAAGCTGTCATTCTAACTACAGAGAGAGGGAGAGAGAGAGAGAGAGAGTGGAGGTGGAGAGAGAGAGAGAGAGAGAGAGAGAGAGAGAGAGAGAGAGAGAGAGCAGGCTACAATTAGAAAACACATCCAGAAGAGCAGAATTCAAGATTTAAGTTTTTCTTATTAAAATAATTTACTATACTTTTTTTTTCCCCAAACACATATCCCCTCTGTGTGAGTTTTAAACAACATTTTCATAAGATTTACACAGGTGTAAGCAAATAGACCACATCTAATTGAGAAATATTCTGGAAATAATTTCTTTTAATCTATAACCACATGCTGCATTAGAGAACATACTGTACATGTCCCAGGCAGGTTAAGAGATTCAGACGAGTGAAGCTCCCCTTGAAGATCTGATCGTGCTGCTACAGCAGGTAACTCTCGAATAGTGTTATGTCTGTATCAGAACAGCGCAAAAGAGGATTCTCCTTCCAAGCATAAACAGAAATGTGTCTCTGCTCTTCCTAAAAAAGGTTACCTTTCAGTGTATCATCATTTTAAGAAATTTTATTAATCTCAACACTCTTCTCTCTGAAAAATAGTGAAGACACACTTAAAATGAAACAACTCTACTGTGTTCCTTTTTTAACTCTGATTGAATTAAACCAAATAAATATGCTTCTCTGTCATAGGCGTCATTAATCTATGGGTTTTTTTCTTATGACTCTATTTTAATTTCAACTAGAGACCTTGGTAAGGCAACAAATATCTGGGCCTAATATTTTCTAATAGGTACAAAGTTTCAGCCTAGAAAGGGCTTTCTTTTCTTTTTTTCTTTTCTTGGTGCCATTTAAGTATATGTTATACTTTCAGTATTACTGAAGGTACACTTTTTAGTAGTACTGAAAGTGTACTGTCAGTAATATACTGAATCTGGCCAGCCAGTAAAAGAACCAGTACACCAAAGGTTGATCAGTAGCAGTATCTGGATAAATTAAGCAAACTACATTTGCTCAGACTATGAGTGTTTAGTTGATATTTATTGAATCCAAGGAAAAAAAGACTAAAGATTTTACTAAAACTGGCCATTTAGTCCCACAAAAATGCTTTATTATTGAAAATATATATACTGAAGAGCTCAATTTATGCCTTCATTATTACTGAAAGAACACTTTTTAGTAATACTTAAAGTTTACTTTCAGTAATATACTGAATCTGGCCAGCAAGGAAAAGAACTGGTACACCAAAGGTTGATCAATAGCAGTATCTGGATAAAATAAGTTATTAAGTATTACTTTCAGTTCTGAAAAAGGAGAAGTAGCAAAGACCACTAGGAAAATAAGTATCTGTAACAGAGATAAGATATTTAATTGAGATTTTAAGATACTGTATTTGCTTTGTCCCATGAATACAACTTTGTTGGACTTTTGTTAATTCTCTGATTTCTTAAGAAGGAGGAAGTAGGCCCAATGATTTTACTTGGCATCCAGAGTAGATTTTGTTCAGTGCTCCATGTGTAAGTCCACTCTTGTCAATATCAAGGGATAGTAACTGAAATTTTGAATTATGAAACCGTGAACTTGGTCTAGGCCTATGTAGATGAGTGCTTTGGAGGTTTAAGTGTGCATGTTGCACACTGTAGTTTGTCTCCCTAACTTCCAAGACAATCTTTTCTCTGGCTCCTATATCTCCAGTTTGATTTGTTTTACTTCATCAAAATAAACTCTCAGGTATTCTTCACCTGGTAGCTTCTAAGGAAGGTTGTGCACTGTGTGTTTTTGCATGCTTATTCTTCTTGCTGATGGTATTTTTCCATTTCCTCAGTTCTCAGCACAGTTTGATGCATTCTTCTTGATTCTGCAAGCTCCACCCTTTTTCAAAGAGCTTCTGGCAGTCCTCTCCCTGAACAGCTCGCTTGTGCTAAAACACCAAGGAGAAGCGCTCAGTTTTGCTGAGTTAGTTCCAATCTTATCACTCTCCTATCCAGCATAAAGTTTCCCCAGTGTATCTGTGATTAAATGAAAATTTGACATTTTAGCTCCCTCTTCCATCATATTTCTTCACACTGGAAACTATTCTTCTAGAACATACAGTTTTCTCTTCTGTGCTTTAATTTATGGCAGTTGCTCAGAATATGAGAGCGTTGAGCTGATATTTACTGAGTCCTTACTATGTCTCAAGAAGAAGACTAAAGATTTTACTGAAGTTTGTCATTTAGTCCCACAACAATGCTATGAACCAGGACTATTACATTTTCAGTAACAGATGAGGACATTCCAGCTTAGAAATGTGTCTCCTGCCAGGCGCGGTGGCTGAAGCCTGTAATCCCAGCACTTTGGGAGACCGAGGTGGGTGGATCACAAGATCAAGAGATCGAGACCATCCTGGTGAACATGGTGAAACCCCGTCTCTACTGAAAATAAAAAAAAAAAAAAATAGCTGGATATGGTGGCACGCGCCTGTAATCCCAGTTACTCAGGAGGCTGAGGCAGGAGAATTGCTTGAACCCAGGAGGTGGTTGCGGTGAGCCAAGATCACGCCATTGCACTCCAGCCTGGGTAACAAAAGCGAAACTCCATCTCAAAAAAAAAAAAAAAAAAAAAAAAAAAAAAAAAAAAAAAAAAGCACTATCTTGCCCCCTTGGCCGTCACTTAAAACCCAGTGGCATGCTATGAGGTCCAGTAGAAATCTCTCACATTTTGGTGAACATGGCCTAAGATTTTGATGATGTGAATTCTTTGAAACATCCATCCTTTTTTTCTTACATCAAAACTTGTGCTCATCTTTCAAGTGACTTCACTGAAATTGAGGTCACTCAGTTCATAAGTGACCTCCTCAGTCTCTCTAGTGAGGGTCTTGGCTCCACGTTCAACATCCACAGTTGCTTTCCCTGCTGTCTTACTACTCAGGATAAGGTCCATGGACCAGCAGAATCAGCATCACATGGAGTTTGTTGGAAGTGCAGACAATGGCTATGCACTCAACCTCCTGAATCAAAATATTCATTTTACTGGGAGTAAGCTATATATAATTTATATGCATTGTGAAGTTTGAAAAGCAATGTACTAGATATTTATTTCACTATTTAGTTATTTGCAGTAACTAATTATCACTCCTGTTTGCCTGACATTTTCCAAACAAAAGGGCCAGTATGTTACTCATAATTGCTTCACCCAAAATAACTAGCATAATGCTTCTTATATGGTTGACAATTGGTACATCTTTGTTAAATGTGTTTATTGAACTAAGAGCAAATTCCATAGACATTACACTTTTATATCTCCCATAACTCATAAAAGCAATATTATTTTCTAAATTATAAGTTCTGGGAATGTAATTATTATGTCTGTCTATTTTATATGGTGCTTGCCTACTATCTGGAAGGCAATTCAATAATTCATGATGAAGTGAAACACACAGTCAATTAATCAAGATGATGATTATATTGAAGAGAGTTTTTTTAAACATCCTTTTATTTTGAGTTTACTTAGGGAACAAACACCTGTAAGTACTTATATGCCAGGGAGTGGTCTCAGTTCTTTACAAATATTGACTTATTCACATTCTGAGTTTCGATTGTGTGGTTAAGCATAAATCTAGGTTCAATCAATAAAGGTTGATTTGCGATACCTCTTCTAATTCTAATACAGGTCATACCACATCTACTTCAGCTTGTTTTGCTGCAGATGATTAATTAACCTGCCATAGTGGATATAAAATGTCAATATTTAAGCAGTTTTTTTTTTTTTTTTTTTTACAATTTCAAAATCCTTCCGAATTATTTGGAAGTAAAATTTGCTGTAGATGGTATGCTACTTCTGGTTGGTATTAAAATAGAATAACATCAAAATATTTAGCAGAAATGCATATTCTATTTCAGAACAGAAATACCATGAGAAATTCTGTCAGGTTTCAGACTATGTTATATATATATATGATATGTTCCATGCATTGTTCACTTATGTAGACATGGTTTTGTATTCAAAGGGAGGGAAGATCCCAATCAGGTGGACATCACCAGAAGCTATAGCCTACCGCAAGTTCACGTCAGCCAGCGATGTATGGAGTTATGGAATTGTTCTCTGGGAGGTGATGTCTTACGGAGAGAGACCATACTGGGAGATGTCCAATCAGGATGTAAGTATTTGTGGTATAGGAATTATGAGTTCAGATTAAAAGATCAAGCTGTGCAAGGAAGTGGAGCATAACGAAACCGGGTGGCTCCTAGTTTGTAACACTGAAATTTTAGCAACAATGAGACTGTTTCCAAGTCTTGCAAGGATATTAATTGAATTGTTCTTACAGATTTACATATTTCCCTCAAGCAAGGCTTTAGAAATAAGACAAAAGAAACATTTGTAATGAAAATGTAATGAAGTGACCAGTAAGATAACCTCTAGATTCTAATACACATTGGAGTTTGAAAATCACTGCTTCACACCATTGAAAAGTACTAATGAACTAATAGTTACTGAATTTTACAAAAAAAAAAATTACTATGAGTTGGCAGGGACCATTTGAACCACAGTATAACTAAAACTGTCTGCTAATTTTGTCCCTATTCATTAATATATGCTTTCTATAGAGAACTATATAATCAAATAATAATTTCTTTATAACACCAAATTTCCTGTATCATTTAACATTTCTTTTTATTTTAACCTAAAAAGGGTCTTTACACACTCTCCTTTCTTAAATTTATGTTCTTTCAATCTTCCTTTATATAATATTTTAGGCATACATAATTTCTTATTTATTTGATCAGCTGTTATCCTTTTAGGCATCTAAAAATGAGAACTTTTCCCACTTACTTTTAAAATAACCATTTTTGTGAGCCCTGCCCATGAAGAAGTAAAATAAGTGTCACTTCCTAAGTTCCCCAAAATTTTGCTTCTCACACAGGTAATCAAAGCTGTAGATGAGGGCTATCGCCTGCCACCCCCCATGGACTGCCCAGCGGCTTTGTATCAGCTGATGCTGGACTGCTGGCAGAAAGACAGGAACAACAGACCCAAGTTTGAGCAGATTGTTAGCATTCTGGACAAGCTTATCCGGAATCCCGGCAGCCTGAAGATCATCACCAGTGCGGCAGCAAGGTGACACTTTCTGTTTGCTATCTCCAAGATGTTATTTTTTTTTTGAGCCCCCTCCCCAGATGCATTCTTTGAAACTTGTATTCCATACTATTAGAGAGATGTATTTTTCCTTTCTTTTTTAATCCTTAGAAGTAATTATCATGTTCCTTAACAGTAATGATTAAATTCTCAGATTTTTTTTTTTTTTTTTAACATCCATCTCGACTCTACATTCAGGCTTGTTTAAGTCTTTGGGAAATAGGACTACCAGTGAGGTATGGTGGCTCATGCCTGCAATCCAAGCACTTTGTGAGGACGGGGCAGGTGAATCACTTGAGGTCTGGAGTTCGAGATCAGTCTGGCCAACATAGTGAAATGCCATTTCTACTAAAAATACAAAAATTAGCCTGGTGTGATAGTGAACTCCTGTAATCCTAGCTACGTGCGAGGCTTAGGCAGGAGAATCTTTGAACCTGGGATAGGGAGGTTGCAGTGAACTGAGATCCTGCCACTGCACTCCAGCCTGGTCAACAGAGCAAGACTCTGTCTCTAAATAAATAAAATAAATAAATATACTGAACACATAACTTTTTTTCACCCTTCATGACTAAAAATATTGCACCAGCTAGCAAATGCAAATTTTCCTCAGTTAATTAAACAAATATTTGTTTAATCCGTATTGCATACCAATTACTTTGCTAGACATCATGGAAGGTAAAACTAAGAGTAAGATAAGGCCAGTGCCCCTGGACACCACCACAAATGTTAGTACTCTGCAGCTATAATGCAATCGTGGATTGCACAAAGTCTATTTAATTCTATGCATATTCCTCTAGGTTAAGAATCACTGAGTTCTCTCAGTGGTTAGAACAATGTAAATTAAAGTACATCTACAAAGTGCAGTAGAAGAAAGAAGGAAGAAAAGATGAATTTTGTCAGGGACTATATAAGAAGAAATAAATATTAATGTATTGGTGCTTCTCAGAGTAATTAAAGGCAGAGCTATCTTGTTTAATAATTTAGATTTCCATCGTGCACATAAGAGAAAAAGTTCTTTTACATTTTGATAGGCTTTTAATTTTTTTCTTATTTATCACATGAGTTGGTACAAGTTTCATGCTTTTAAAAACAGTCCTCTTAACAACTCGAGAGAGAAGCATTTGAGACCTATTTGGGACTTCTAGCTATGTGCCTACTCAATGGCTTGGACTTGTGAGTTCAGTAATATTTTGATCGGTACAATGGAGTTTTATCATTAATGATGACTTGTGAGCTATTCTCCCTTCTTTGCATAACCAGTGGCTTCTCAATGTCTGTTTTCAATTGTGTTAGTTTTCGGTCTCACTAATACTCTCCTGCCTTGCTGCTTCCATTGCTACAAAGAAAAGTGGCTAAAGCTGACATTCAATGCATGGGACTTCCCTTAGTTTTTGACTTAAGTTATCTGTTTGAAGATTGAGCAGTGTGTGTGTGTGTGTGTGTGTGTGTTGGTGAGTGAATATATAGGTACAAGTTTGATTAACCATGCCTTAGTATCATATTTTTGTAAAAAAGTCAGTCATATGTAATACAATATTTTAAGATATCAAAAATCAATGCCCCTCAAATCCGCAGTGAATAAATAGCAAAATTTTAATATATAAACATTTTTATCCATTCATCTGTCAGTGGATACCTATGTTGATTCCATAGCTTGGCTATTTTGAATGATGCTGCAATGAACATGGGAATTTAGATATCTCTTTGAAATACTGATTTCATTTCCTTTGGCTATATATCTAGAATGGGATTGCTGGATCGTATGTTGGTTCTATTTTTAGCTTTTTGTGGAACCTCCATACTTTTTTCCACATAGCTGTCCCAATTTGCATTCTCTTACATTCCAATTCTCCCTTTCTCGACATCCTCACTAACAGTTGTTATCTTTTGCCTTTTTGATAATAGCCACCCTAACAAGCGTGAGGTGATAGCTCTTTGTGGTTTTGATTTTCATTTCTCTAATGCTTAGTGATGTTGAGCACCTTTACATAAACCTGTTGGTCATTTGTACATCTTCCTCAGAAAAGTGTATATTCAGGTCCTTTGCTCATTTTTTAAATAGGGGTATTATTATTTTTGCTATCCGGTTCTATGTGTTCCTTATATATTTTGGATATTACCCACCTATGATATATATTGTTTGTAAGCATTTTCTCTTCTGTGGACTGCCTTTTGTTTTGTTATTTTCTTTACTTGCAGAACATTTTTAGTTTGATATGATCCCTATTGTTTAATTTGGTGTTTGTTCCTGTGATTTTGGTGTCATATCTACAATGTTGTTGCCAAGACCAGCGTCATAGAGCTTTCTTCTGTATTTGCTTCTAGAAGTTTTACAGTATTAGGGCTTCAGTTTATCCATTTTGCTTTGGTTTTACTGAATGCCCATTATCCTGTTTTTATACAATAGTTGAATACGTTAGATTGGAGAATCATAAACAAGGTCTTAATATCATTATCTTAAAATCATAGATTATTTATTGAAGATAACACTTAGGAATCATTAAGATTAAACTTAGCAGTAAGTCCTTAAACAAAGCTATCCATAACTTATTCCATAAGGATAAATCTCTATCCCAAACTTCAGAGACTGTATAGACTCTTAGAAATTCACCTGACAGTTTAACAACCAACAGGATAACAAATCCGTCCTTCCCTGGGCCATATGGTCCTAATTTTGTACCTTGAAGCCATTTATTTTGATCTTTACAGCATAGATAGTAATCACAGAAAAAAAAATACTTTCCGTATCATAAAAACATTCAATTTTCAAAGCTAACTCATGTAATATAATATAATCTAGGGATATCTCATACCAGTTTCATAGAGACAAGTTGTCTTACTGTCAGATTGTAATCTGTGAGGATATGTCCTAGCATTAAAATTGTAATATAATTTCATAATTCACTTTTCCCTTCTTATTGCAATATACAAAATATTTTTCCTTGTATATTTTTCTTTAATACATAAACAAGTGTCATGTATTTTGTCATAAACCATAATTTTAGAAAAAAAGGAATATTTTCTATGAAAAGACAACCATCTTAACCAAATATGAACATTTGGGCAATGATATTCATATTTTTACTCATTACCATTAAAATGCACAATGGATTTGATTTGTTATTATAAATTTATTATTAACAAACTCACATTACCATGCAAATATGTCTCTTTAGAAAATTTGCTTTCCTAGCTTTGACAATGATTATTTTATCCTTGTCATAACTGATTAAAATCACCCCCTTCTTTAATTTTTAGTGATGTCCTTACCAAAAGCTTTATTGAGAAAATAAGATATTAGATGGGAACTTCCCACAGCAAAATAGAAATGCAGTGGCACCTGCACCTACCCATATTCTCCTCCTGTCCTCTAATTATAAAAGAAAGTGTCTATTTGTCGGAAGCAAATCCTCTGCTCTCCCTCTCTCTCGGTTTCCCTCTCTCTCTTCTGCGTATCTAGGCTTTTTCTTCCTGTAAGATCATTGCCACAAGCGTACGTTCTATTATGTTCTTTCTCACTATCTTATTCTTATCACCAGGGGAACCTATTGTACATACAACTGTCCAGGTCTGTCCCAAGAATCTCCTGGAAAAGGGAATGGAGTTAGATGTTTTATAAAAACTCCAGGTGATGTTTTCCTCCTCTGGAAAATTTAGGAGATGTTGCTTGTCAAAATTCTCCCTGTTGGCCCCACATCTCTGCCAACTACTTCCCTACTTCCCTAACACTCTTTACATCCAAACTTCTCAAATAATAAACTCACAGACATAAAGTCAATATTCTGAAAATTTATCAATTTTCTCTCCCTAGCCTGATCCTTCCACTGCCTAATGAGTTGAATACACTAGCAGCTACTCATTCACCTAACCAGGAACTGGAGCAACTCTTGGCCCCTCTTTCTTGCCCTCCACACTGTGATTATCTGGATCAATGAAATCTACCTCCTACCCCTTTCACTGAAAACACTGTCCTCACGGCTGCTTCGCCCTCTGACCTGGGCCCCCGCAGTAGCCTCCTAACTTGTCCCCTGTTTGATTGCTGTCAAAGTCCAAACATCTTTTTGCATAGCCTACAAAATCTTATCAAAATATATACGATATAGTTTCAGTCACCTACTTATAATGAATATTGAATTCATGGAACACTTAGAAAACAATCTAATCACCATCTGAATGTTTAAAAAGCCCTATTGGCCGGGTGGAGTAGCTCAAACTTGCCATACCAGCTACTCAAGAGGCTGAGGCTGGAGGATAACTTGTGGCCATGAGTTGGAGACCAGTCTGGATGCTATAGCAAGATCCCCATCTCTACAAATTTTTTTTTTTAAATCGGCCGGACATGGTGGTATTTGCCAGTGGTTCTAGCTACTCAGGAGGCTGTAGCAGAAGGATTGTTGAGTCCAGGAGTTTGAGGTTATGATGAGCAATAATAAAAATACTCCACTCAGCCTGGGTAACTGAGCAAGACTCTGTCTCTTGAAAAAACAAAAAAAAACTAATTAAAAAGAAATAAAAAGTCTTGCTTGTCTAATGTTATTTATTTATTCAAATAAATCTTATTCAACAACTATTTTTATATAATACAATGAGATGACTATAGCCAATAATACCGTGTGTATTTTAAAATAGTATTCAAGCACTATTTATTATATATTAATATATATATTATATATAGTATTATTATGTACCAGTCTCCCATGTGCAAGGCACTGGATAGACTCTGAAGAAAAATGAAGAGGATAAATACGGTCCCTGCCCTCCTGAAGCTCACGTTATACAAAATGCACGGTAAACGACAGACAAGTACGGACCGGAGGAAGGAAAAAAGTAGATGGCCGTGGTGGGCAATAAAGAAGTGGCTGGGAAAGGGTCCTCTAAGGAGCTGATGTTTGAGACCCGCAGGAAAGGAATGAAGCAGTTGTGTACGCTTCCCTTCACCAACAAGACTATGCTTGGCACAGGATTAAAAAACTGCAAACGTC